CAGCGCCGAAGCCAACAGCTTAGCAACTATGCCACCGTGTCATAATAATATCTGTTCTAAATATTTGTTATCTTAACCAGATAAAAAATTCATTAACCCGCAATATCTGAAGTGCTATGAAAAGAAAACTTTATTGCTATGAAAAGTTTGATTGCTTAAGTTTGAGCAGTCGTCTACGGAACCGTCTATAATTTATATGATTTGTTTCCACGGACAAAGTTCCTCAGAACAATTTTCTAGGTTCAATTTTGTCTCAGTTTACCCGTCTGTTGGTTGAACTAACTGGTGTGGGCTGTCAATGGATCAGGATCGCGCTTCGTGGCTGTCTGTTGGGGAGTCCTATGTTGTACAATGAGTGTCTTTTTCACAAAGAGTACTGGGACAGGGAATAAATTTTTAGCTTATTTTTTTGTTACGCTAAAGAATTATAACTTCTCGCATACGTATATAAGTACACACATTTTTTTTTATCAAGAATACAGGAAGTTTTTCGGTTTTCTTTGTACGGTATTTGAATTTGAATTTAAATAAATTCAAACATGCAATAGCGAAGCTTTCGTTTAGACGGAAACGCGAGCTTATATCGCCAGCAAACGTTTACATTTATATTTCCCAGACTCGTTACACCAGCAGCTATTTACGTAATCCAAAAAACATAAAAGATTATATTGAACCGGGTTAGATTGCAACTTTAGGCATTAAAGATCCTTTGGTTTATTTTCACATAATTATTTATAACGATTTAATAGTCAACGACATGAAGTTTAACTTTTCATCTTTCAACTTAAAATGCACAACTTTCGCTTTACTTTTACAACATAAATCTCATACATAATACAGGGTGGCTTTTCTAATGGTGCCCAAATTCACACAGAAGGTTCAGACTCGGTAGTATAATCGTTTATTGAAATAAAAACAAACTTTTCTTTGCAAAAAAAAATTGCCATTCCAATCCCTAAAAACAGAACTTGTTGACAATGCGGTAGTCACTCATAAATGCGTCGTATACTTTTGAAACGAACTTGTGTGCGCGTTAGTTATGAATGATTGCGCATAAAATAAATGACTTGGCCATAAATCACGCTCTTTTTGAAATAAGTTAAAATGAATGTATTTAATGAATTACGAGTGATTTTAAATATTTATCATTTTTATATAACATTAATTGTGTCTAGAATTTAATAAAAAAATGGATACACTTAAAAAAGCCTCCCTGTATAGGCATTTGACTGCGGCGAAGCAAATAAAGGAGGGTTATATTATATCCATGTATGTGTGTTCCTATAGTTCCTCGTAACTACTACACGGTGGAATAATTTTGATACATGAGACAACTCGTTAGATTTGTCTGTATTGCAAGATTATTACTATGAAGTAAAAGCATAAAGTAACAGCCTACGTATATTGCACAACTGGGCAAATGCATAGTCCGACACGCCACCATCACGGATTGACGGCCTTCACATATCTTCGAAATATTTGAGTTTTTGGTCGTTATTATAATATTTTGTTTTTGTTATTATTATTATTTGGACAATGTGCAGGTTTCCACAATGATCCCATACCGCTGAGCACGTGATACATCAACTCTTATAATTGTAATTGACGAATTCACCGGGATTTTCAGATTGCTCAAGAATGTTGATTAAAATCGAATGCCTGGACTCGTTTTAATCAACGGCTATTTGGTACTGATCTTTGTGTGAATCTTAGTGCTACTGGGCATATTCAAATTAAAAATAAAAGATATATAACTGCTATTTGGCGCCAAAGTTTATGTTTTCAAAAATATTTTTCGTACCGCAGTCGGGTTTCTAACATTAAAAGGTGGCAAAAGAGCAAGACCAAGTCAAGAGCTGCCCCACCGATGTTAAGTGATTGCCGCCGACCATGGACGTCTAAACTACCTGAGAGGATCCAATTGCCTTGCCAACATTAAAATGGGTCCTCTCATTTCAATCACAAGATGAAACACGAAAGTATTATACGTCCAACTCATGTTGGTCGGTCTTCTGTGACGGCAGGAGCCGAAGCCGAGCGTTGCGCTTCCTTTTAATAATATACTAGTGGTCACCTAGTGGCCGAAATTCAGCCGTAATTAATTATACATGGTAGAGTGTGTAATGATTTTTTTATTGATTTAATTTGTTTTTTAGGCATAATTTTAAGAAAATATTAACATTCTGCACTCCTTCTCTGAATAAACTATACGTGTGGGAAATTTCATACTCGCATTACACAGCGCAATTTTCGTAAAAAGGGGTACAAAGTTTTTGCTTCACGTATATATAGATATATACGAAAAAATATAGTCACTTCATCCTTGAGAGTGGGAGGTTATATTCCACGTTAATATTCAAGATGATTTTTTTTCGTGAACCTATTTTATTGATAGAAATGGATTCATCAAATCCCATCATGGCGACAGCGTTTGTCACGCAAATCGCGTATCAGTACATAATAAATCCATTATGAAAGACTTAATACCACTTTATATGTACATATTTTCATATATCTGGAAACATTGCTATGAAATCATTATTACCTCTGACCTATTGTTTATATTAGTAGATGGCAAGCTAGCTGGCTGTTCATCATTAACATCTTAAGTGATAACCGCCGCCGCCCGTGGGGTTGAAGATGCGTTGCCACCTTTTAATAATACAGAAGACCAGCGTAAAGTGGAAGTATGACAAATACTTTCGCGTTTCGTCTGGTGACTGAGGTAGCCGGAGCCCAATTCTCAAAAGGTTGTCAACGCATCTGTAACCCTCGGGTGTAGCAGGCGGCGGTATTCACTTAACATTAGGTGACCCGTCTGCTCGTATGGCAACTTTTCACATAAAAAAAAAATATGGGTCTCGGTTACCTAATTCACCCGACGAAACGCAGAGTTCCACACTTCCACTTCACTCGGATCTGACCGAGGGTGACTGTGTGGCCATGTTACTTTTCCGGACGACCCTCGTACGATAAAAGTACTCGATGAAAAATCGTTGAAACATTACAGATGTTTTTACTATTTTGTTAATACACTAGAAAAAAATATGAATAATATACGATTATAATACAAAAGAATATTGATCAATCAAAAACTATCAATTAAGTGCCTAAATTAAGAATGAGTTAGATTAAATATTAATCGGTCTTGGTAGCGGTAGCTTGGTAGACATCAAGAATCTTTGCCAAAAACATACACATTACCGTGATTTACCCGTATCGTGACTGCCAGCAGTTAAAATTTATGAGAAATATTCACAAAGCACCTAGAACCTTCTCCGTGCTTGGTAAAAAATAACACATTTATGGTTTCAATTTCAAATTATACAAAGCTATACCGTCATCAACAGTCGAATAATGCCACAATGTTTTGGAACTGCAAATTTTACTATTTGTTTTAGAAAACTTGTGATTTCCGAGTTCCGTTGTTTCACCATGCGTCTAATTGAAAGGGTTGAAATCTCGTCTTCTCTCTTTAACTTAACAAAGTAAAAAGAAACAACCGATACTATCACGTTTAAACGATCTTGTCTCTGAACGTGGTGAACATGTCGCTATACAATAAGCACAAATTTTAGACAAGGACCCTTGAACTGGACACCAACTACATTTAAACCCGCGGCTTCAGAAATATTAATATTAATCATTTACCTTTATTTTGCGGAAAAAAGAAAACTATTAATCTTGTCAGATTACCTAATATATAATTTTTGACAAAAAAAAATTTAAATCTCGGCAGATAAAGCAATATATAATTTTTACCGCCAAAACATCGGACACGCAAACGCCCTTGACACGTCTGGCCGCGTTCCAAAACCGTCAAACGTAGCGATCCATTTTTATTTCCCGAAAAGGAATTCGCCCTTTTCGCACTGCCCAGTTTAATTTTAGCACGAGAATAATATCTCTTTTTTTATTGCCCATTGCTACGCATAGCAATCAATTTTTATTACAACTTTTGAAATTAGACGGTTTTCCCTAAGTTACGACAGCAGTAATCGCAATTTCGAGTGTTTTATTGTATTTTCCTTTCATATAAACTTGTTAAAAAAGGATGTTCCTTCGCGACCCTTATGAGAGATATGAGTGGCTATAATGCCGCTCATCTAATTGCGACATTTTTGACAAAACTTTATTTATTGTGCGTACGCTTACGTAGGATTCTGATTTGGAAAATAATATTAAGGACGCCTTCATACGCCAAGATCATTTAAAATGTCTAGAAATGGAAGTTGCAATGTTATAATGAAAGTACATTCTGGATGAAACCGCGTTCGGTTTTATTTTTTTATTTATTTAGTTTCGACGTTTCGAACGTTTTAGTTTCCCTATCTTCATTGGGATGCTTATGTCACAATTAACTCGAGCTTCCGTCGGCTTTAAAATTATTCATTTTAGTTCGATCTTCGCAAAAAGATAGTATTGCAACTTATTGCGTATTTGATTTTAAATAACTTTTTATTCATTCGTTTTTCATCATTGCAAATATTACCTAGAACAGAACTCCGTATTGGGATTTGTCTCTTCATTTCTCAATCATAACCTTAAAATTGAGTATACGTTCAATATGCCTAAGGTTCCTAACTAAATATATCGATGAATTTATAATCAAAAAACTTCAAATTTTGATAAAATAAACATGACATGCCCTCTCAATGATAATCATAATGAACATAAAAAGCCATGTAGGTATTTCAGAAGAAAACGGAGTTCTATAAGTTTTATGGCAAAGTTATATCTCATTTACAAATTGCTTTTCTTAACTGTAAATGTATGGATATTACGAAGTTAACTCTTTCTTATAATAGACAATTTCTAATTGTAATAAACTTTTGTTAAAAGTTATTTTTTTATTAACTACCATTAAGTCAAATCTTGGAATGCTATGCCGCGTAGCGTCAATAATGGCCTGAAAAAACAATAGCTGAACGGACTACAAGCAGTAAATGTGTTCAAAATGGCGTCAAATAATATCGAGTGCGTTCATGAACTGTGTACTTATGAAGAAACTTAAGACCGCAGTCAGGAAGTGGCGGAGGATGCGCCTCTTCCGGAAAAGAGACGGTAAGTTGTTGGTAACATGAGAGCGAAAAGGATGCAAGCATTGTCTTGTCACCCATGAAATTTGTAAATCAATCTTTACTTCGATGACTTAACGACAAAGAGTTTAAAATTGCATTGGAATAATGTTACATTTTATTAAGGATTCGGCACACTCCCTATACCGATTCCAACAGCTCACCAAGTGTGCTGTCAAGGAATCGGTATAGGGAGTGTCTTTATGACCTCTATGTCTTATGTGACTACATTTATAGTGGGTTTTATTCTTCCATGAAAGGCAATGAGATAGCCTTTTGTACTCAAGTTTGTATATTTCTTATAAAGTAAATAAATATTTTTAAATAAATAAATAAATATTTTAGTACCAGTTTTACACAACGTTTTCTAGACCCAAACTGAGCAACGCTTGTGCTATGGGGACTAGAAAACCGATAAACATTCTTTTCTTTTGTAAATAAATACATATTATACATATCCAGACACTGGAAAAAACTATGTTCAACACTTAATATTTTTCCAGTAGTGTGGATCGATCCCACACCCTCTGGCGCAAGAGGCAGGGTCACTACTCTCCACGCCAATCTGGTCGTTATCATGCATTTTTTTAATATGAGAATAAAAAAAGTAATTCCTTGTGTGCAACACAGTAGATATATCCCATTCGTCTCTAAAGAAACCCTTAAAAATAGATATACAGTCATTATCATGATCATTTCAGCCTATTTGAGTCCATTGTTGAACATAAGCCTCCCCATAGACCGCCACGAGGTACGATCGTGATAATAATAATCATTTATTCGCATAAACATGGTACATAATATAGTGGTGTCTAACAGTTCACATGTTTGCCAGATGCGGCTTGCAAAAACTAATGTTTAAATAAACTACACTAATAGAAGTTAAAATGACAATACTTATTGCATAAATTAAATTCTGAGCCGCCTGCATCCATCGACTTCCCGCACATTTGCACAGATATACAATGATAACTACTATTTTAAAATCCTCCGTTTTCAATACTTTCATCGTGAACAAAATCTTACGTTTGAATGTTATAGCATATAACTGGAGCAAGATGTCCATCCGAAAAAAATCAAATTTAATATAGATTCCCGAGAACTGATCAGTGAGGGGATAATACAGAAAGGGATTGAACTTGCCAATTCTTTCAACAGATCTATCGGCTGCTCGGCAATTATCGGCTGACCAAGGCCCATCGACGTCTGGCACCCCAGCGCACATCCCTCGCCACGTGCCCACTGACCTCCAGTTGGTAAGATCACCATGATGTACTGTATGCTCACTTATGTTCCGAAGAATTGTCTGCTTCGTCTTGTTAGTCTCTTAACTGTAAGCCATGTTCTTAAAGGTTTTTTTTTTTATATAAGGAGATCACAAGCAAGCTGGTTGTTAACTTGATGTTAGGTGTTAATCGCAATTTGCAACATCCTTGGAGTTACAAAGGTTTTTGCACGTTTAATAAAGCGGGCCCCGGTCACCAAACGAAACGCAGAAGTATAACACTTCCACTTGACGCCGGTCTTCTGTGAAGCTGTGGTACTTCCCCGAATGGACCTGCCCATTCGTGCAATAGTGAAGAGTGATGCGTGGACCTACCATGCAGCAGATTCTGCCGATTTTTTTCCAGTATTATTTCTAGAATGTGCAGACATTAAAATTACAATCAACAATTTCATTGGTGACGTCACCGAGATTTGAACTCAAGTAACTCGAATACACTGCATTAAAAGTGAGCGCCCGGACACCGTTTAGTGTTCCCAATATAACTCATACAGATTGAAGAAAACTGAAAGGTATACTTAAATATAATGTTGCTACCTATATTACAAGAAAAGCAGAATTGTCGATTCGCGCTCTATAAATCAAAGAGTTTTCGCTTTTGGATTTTCTACATGGTCACTGTTGCATTTTATTTGACATTTTACTCTTTGCATATCGGATACATTTTAATAATAATAAACTTGATGAAAAGTTGAAGCTACTAGTTTCCCTTACTAGTACTACTACTTAGAAAATATTGCATATAAACAATCTTTCCCAGGAACCTGATGAGGGACAAAAACTAAGGGAACAACATCTCAGACAATTCGCGTTCTTCCAACTTAGGATACACTTGAAAAGGGGTCAGAACCTAGTGGCCATGGACAAGAATGGTAAGAGATCATGGACACCAAATGCACTTCAAACACACACACTTACCACTCGCGTAGGCTCAAAGGCTGGCACAGAGACAGATTAAAAATACCACGAGCTTTAAAAAAAATAACGAATAAAATCGGCTTTCTTTCGCACAGCTGTCACGTGAATCACGTGTAATACTTATTTTATAAAATTGAGAAACAGACAAGACCCTTAAATACAAAACTTCTTTATTCAATTTAAGCTTAAAACTCTTATGAACAAACTATATGCCAGTATAATGCAAGAAACTCCGCAGAGTTTCTTCTTCGTAAGTTTTCTTGCCAAAAAATCAAAGAGCTTGATAACGAATTTTACGCACACTACTTAATTTCTCTATTTACTAATATTTTTTTAGGCGCAGGTTTATGCTGGTAAACTATCTTCTTACTGACAGTTTCCGAGAAATTTTGCTAGAATACAAGATAAGTCCGCTTACCAATTAGACGAAATATATTCATAATTTTCACGTTTCAATAATCTTTATCAAATTGTACCTCACATTTACACACGCATTGAATAACTTATACATATGTATCAATATACATATATTATGTGTATTTGAATGTACGTGTATTTATTTTTTATCTTTTACTTTGCACCTTACAATTTTATTGCATTTAGCTAGTGCTTTTGCTTTTGTAGAGTTTTATTTATTGCCAATAGGAAATATGTAATACACGTTTAAACAAGTTGAAAATAAAATGACAGTACATTTTTAAAATTATTGACCCCTGAATTTTTTTACTGTTTGTTATAGTCTTGTTGTTTGCAATTATGTAAATAAATTAATAGGTTATGTAAGCTAAGGTGAGTGTTAGGGTAAATTACGATTGCCTCTTAACTTGAAGTCGTATGACCTTAGGATAGATTGTGAAGAGATTAAGTTTACCTTAATTTTGATCATATGTCCTAATCTTAAGGAATTTATCTGATAAATAGATAGTTAGTGCTTAATTTAGTCCGTTTCTTTTGGCTTCTTACTATTCTAATCGGTCGCCTTGTGGGGTCGAAAACCAGGTTTGTTGTCAGGCACCAGTGACCCCTACGTGAAATTCAAGGCTGGGGGTCGCCTTCTGCACAAATCGAGGATTGTGTACCGGGACCTGAATCCGGTCTGGGACGAGTGTTTTACCGTACCAATCGAGGACCCATTCGTACCGGTACAGCTGAAGGTGAGTACCCCGTATTACATGCATCATATTATGAACATCTATTTTTAACAATTTATTTATCCAATATTTACAACATTAACGCCCGGTTTCTGTGAAACTGATCACTGTAGCTGTTAACTAATCAGCTGTCAAATCGCTTTTCAAATGTTATTTAATCATTTAATCATTTTAATCATTAAGATTATCATTCTGATTAATTCAAAGAGTTTAACAATCCTTTTGGCAACTCAAATGATATTTGAAAATCCATTTGACAGTTGATTAGTTAACATGGTGATCAATGTCTCAGAAACCGGGTGTAAATCTATCTAAATTACATATTATCTAACAAACCTATTCCACGGGGAATGGTGCCAAGAACGTTAGCTGCATTTCCTCGCTCAATAGTTATGCTTAACCTTTTAGCAAGAAAACAACCAGCCCTCTTGTCACCAGCTGCGACTTTAAGCCTAGGAGTAAACATTTCATTTTTAACCGACATCAGAAATAAAATAAATAGAAAAATACTAAATAATAAAAAAGTCGGTTTCAATTCGATTGTATTTTTTTAATTTTTTCCGTCAATTATGAAACGACTTTAAAATATTATTTTTGGATTGGGTTCGGGTGTTACAATCACTGTGGTAGGGCCACGCAGCAGCATTTAGTGTTGCACGTATAGGCAGACTAAATATATAAAGAGTTTCTTATGATATTTTATCAGAGATTAGCGCTATAACATATTTAATTTATAATAGCGATGGCGACATCTCTCTTTAGAATTATCGTTGTAAAACGATATCCGAAATTGTTTGTATGGTGTAAAGGATGTAACAATGGATGCGCCGAGCATTGTTTGAAGTTCGAAAAAACGATGTAGATAAAAGTCGTTGATATTTTCGTCGGTGTGGCAATCAGCTGTTTAGCCACCACCAAGGACCAGACCAGACCAACCAGCCCAGCCGAAAAGAAAAAAGAAAATTATGAAGTTTCATGTGTAGTATACGCTGGTGAATCTCTATGTATTGTTTCGGTGTGTTTAAAAATAATTCCAACGAAAAGTTTGTACAAGTCGTTCTATATTTTTATTTTACAGTTCAGTATTTTCTTTTCCACGTCTGTCTGATAGCCGACTTTTCACAAGCTGTTGACGAGCTGGTTATGAGTAAAAAAAAATATAAACTATTTGGTAATTTTGTATAATTTCAACAACATTATGGTCGCATTTAGGACAATGTGCGAACATTTGCCTTAAACAGGTCAACCAGGTAAATCAATTTCAACATGGCCGCTAATGTGTCTTTGTTTAATGAACAACAGCTTATGAAACGCAAAGTTATTTTATCATCAGTGCAAATCGCTTAACGAACTTTATCAATTACAAAGCGAATTGCTACCGATCGTTTAAAGTAAACTTCTCTAACGTAATGAACAGCTAAGAAATAACCTGATTAGTTTGAAACTAACTCTTTCAACTGAAAGTACTTCAGGCAGTGACTTAATCTTGTTAATGTAACTTACGCGACAGCTCAACTTATTATTATATGCTTTATTGAACACCATAAACATATATGAGAAATGTTACATAAATAACTTATAAGGTAGTAAAAATAAGGCGGTCTTATCGCTAAAAAGCGATCTCTTCCAGACCTTGTGGCTAAAAGTACAATATTTTGGACAACGGTAGGTGGTGCAAATGATAAACTTACATACGAAGATCTAAGTAAACTGAACGAATATTTGTTAGTTAAATGCTATTTGAAGTGTGACCTCAAATTGTTAAAATCTATCAATGTGCCGTTGGATTTCTTTGACGATATTTCTATTACATGCGCAAAATCGAGATAATTTTGAACACTATTTTTAAGAAAGCATGAAGCGAGAAGGGGTTAATACATTCCTAAAAAAGATATCGAGTCCCCAAGCACTAAATATTTTACCCGTGAACAACGTAATATGTTCAGTATTAACGGTATTAAGTAATTAGTGTTATCTACATATTATATGTAAAGGCTGCTAATTAGCAAAGCTCAAAGCTACTGTAAAAGTAAAATGAAGGTGTTCTCAAACAGAGTTTAATAAACATTTTAGTCACAAGCACTGTTTAATTTTATCAAAGACAAAATAAAAGAACGTATTTCTAAAAAAATGTGATTTTTGAACATTATTGGGAGCAAGATAATGTCAAAATAAAGATGGGTATATAAAAGAAAGGCTTTAAGTAGGATAAATTTACTCAACTTTAATATTGTTAATAGTCTACTAAATACTTTGGACGTTTAAAACAAAGAATAATGACGCTATGTAAAGTGACACGAAACAGGCGTTACATCTAACCCTTTACCTTGCTTAATCCACCCCTTGGCACCGTTAAGGGTGTTTATAACTTAAGTCATGTAATTAAGGCTGCCAGTTGTGCTAGACTGTTTAAGTTAAGTACTAACTTATTTCAAAATAGGGTAGAATTGTCGCACAAGTTAATCAAGTTGTTTCCAGGACTTTATGAGCCCAGGCTTTACTTCTCGCAAACCAAAACAGATACAAAAGGCAATATAACAAAGAAATACCTCTTTCCCTAGTAACGTCATAGAACAAAATGAGTTAAGTAATATCTTGTGGGCGTTTTTGTTCCGTAAAAATGAATTATGTACGTACTAGCTTTTCAACCGCGGCTTCGCCCGCGGGGTCGAAGAGAATTAACAATGAGTTTTTTATTATACACCAGAATATCTCGCAGATATCTGAATTTTTTCCTACTTAGTTGACACTTATCATTACCTATATTTTGGACAATTCACATAAACACAATATCTTAATAAATTAAAGCCTTTGTGTTATTCTGATCAATAAGCTATATTATTGTAAAGTTTGATTGAAGTCTATTCAGTGGTTTTTGCGTGAAAGAGTAACAAACATCCATCCATATCCTACTTACAAAATTTAATAACGACTATCGTTTTAAGAATGTAAATATTTGTTGTTTAGTTTGCGTCTTAGGTAACCGGAATCACTTAAAAAGTGACAACTGTAGCACGTTGCGTGTCATAGATGCCCCAAGCTTCGGGAATCCCATAATGTGAGGTGCACCATCTGCCATTATTAACCACAAACAAACCACGAAGAAAGAGCACGAAATGTAAGTTGCACCACTTTTATTGTTTTGTCGAAGTGGACAAAACAATAAAAGTGGGGGCAAGGACAGGCGAGAGAGGCCAAACGCAATTCCATCTCTCCCCTCTCACTTCAGTTGCAGAAGACGGAGAGAGACTCCTTCTCTACCACACTCAACCTTATCCGAACCCTCCAGTCACGCATCCAGTCTCGTCTAAATGTGCGCACTATAAGCGGTCTTCTCGGGCTAGCCTTACGCCACAGGCCGGCGCACTGTGGGTATCTCTTGGCTTCACGATGGGTGACCAAGCCATGAGTAGCCCCCTGATGAAGATGCAATGCTCTTTAATCATAAATAGAACTATGAAAAAAAACCGTGGGTAGAAGTTATGTATTTTGTTTTTCACTAGCTGTGGCCCACGGTTTCACTCGAATTGGTTTCACTCGCATTGATTTCGAAGTACATAGCAGATCTTAATGTAAACCTAAGATAAAGCTTCGGATATATTAGAAACTTACCGAATATTTATTATTATTTATTATTTATTCAGGCAGACAGCAGCAAGCCATGTCACTCCCTGTACAAAGTCTATCAGTACAAATTGACCTTCGGTTCCAATGCTTTGTTGCTGCTTGAAATAAAATCAATCAACAACACATTGATTTGACGTTTATTATGTTTAGCTGAACGGTACGTCAAACTGTTCGGATTTCGCATATAAATAAAGGATTAAAATAACTCCACGATCGTGTTTGAGTTTTTGTTTTTATTTTGTCTTGATTTTTAATTGCGTTTTATGCCTTGATTTTTGATTGCGTTATCTGTTCTGTCGTTTTTATTTCTTCAAAATAATGTTATTTTATTTATCGTCATTAAAGGTGTGTATGTTGTGCCAGTTAGATGTCAGTTTTGTACAATTTTTATGGTCGCAAGGAGGTTGGATGGCAGCATTAGGGTTTCCTGATTATATTCCAAGTATTTTTATTCCAGGTGTTCGACTACGATTGGGGTCTGCAAGATGACTTCATGGGCTCCTGTTATCTCGACCTCACGGCGTTGGAGCTGGGCCGCACCCAAGACCTTGTTCTGTGCCTCCGAGACCCCAACAAGCCCAGTCTAGACATGGGGGAGATCGTTCTGAACGTCACACTGTGGCCAAAGTCCCAAGAAGATAAAGAGCAGGTAGGGGCAAATCGAAACTGATTTATTTTCGTAATCAAGTGATAACAATATCTAGACTAAAGAAATCTCAAATCTCTGAGGATTTCTAGGATGACCCAAGTTGTCAAAAGGTCAGTAAAATGATTTTTGTGATCCGTGATGAATTATTACTTAAAAAAAACTGAATAATTAATTTAAGAGTTAATAAATAACACATTTATGATAATAGTGAAAAAAAACATATGTATTGGAGATTTATATTACATGTAATATAAATCTCCAATACATAATATGTATAATTTTACCCTTTGTCTATTGTATTGACTATTGTCTATTGTATGAGTCCTATATGAGGACATCACTCAGCAGAATTTTGCAGCATAAACTACAACGCTACAAGCTAACAAGGTTCTCTTATTGTTATGTATAGGATTCTACGACTGAAATGAGTTTGGGAAACACTGTTCTAAATTAGTGTAAACATTTTCAAACCAGTTCGACATATTATGTTTTTACTTTACATACTTTATTTGCTCAAAAAAACAACGAGACGACGAATCGTAAATCAACAAGACGTGTTATATTAAATATTAGTGCGGATTTCGATACTTAAAACATTATATTAACATTAGGAGTGCTTTAGGAAATAAATCTATGAGCATGAAATATCCGAGGTAGCGATTAGTACTAATTAGTACATTTGTTATTTATTCGCGGTTATTTCTGAACTGTACAACGATTTGACTTATCAGATAACAAGCGATTTGCCACATGTCTTTCTACCAGAATCTTGAGTAAACTAATCTCTCTCCATAAGCCTACGATGGTAAACTGGCCTCTCGATTACTCTGCCAGGACCTGTGGTCAGAACCACTCACAACTACCCGCAATAATGTTGCTTTTATTACTGTACTGGCCCGGTGCACTTCCTTTCACCTAGAAAAATCTTACGTGTATCAATTAACCTATTAGTCCAACATCCCAGGGCCACCAGACGTCACTATTTTCTGACGAAGGAAATGCGGACGATTGAGTAGTGTTAGTATGTACTAAGAACGCATGCCTACCTGCTAGCTCGCTCAGACGGCAAATTTTCAGGTATCAGGTAATCAAGGTACATAAAAACATTACTTACCTCACATAAATTCTCCAAGCTGATTTTTACGTATATTTTAGGCAATATCCTTAAAAATAAGTCGCCAATACTCCCAGACACTTTCCGTCGGCCGTATCGCTTTGCAGACGCTTTAAAGCTCCCAAAATATATATATAATTTTTTATATGTCTACCAGACAACTGTTTTAAAATCTTTTACAAGAAGACCGATCCAAGGGTCCAATCACTCGCATCAATGTCTCCGGTAGGGATCAACTCGGATAGACTCGACTAGAAAAAGGAGAGGAAAGTTAAGTAATGTTTTTATGTACCTTGATTACCTAGTAGTGGCCCTGGGATCTTGCTCTATATGGTTTAAAAGATAAAAATCGCCGCCACCAGCGCCACCTATCCGGCACTAACCTAACCTATGTTCGTCGGAGTAGTCATTTCGCTCTTTGTATATGTGCTAAGTTGCATATCAATTGGGCTATAGGTTTTAGGTGAACGTACACACATATATTCTCTTTTATATACTTATATAGTGTTTAATTCTAAAAAAAAATTTAATTAAATAATATCTATAATTAATACCTAACCTAAAAATATGTAAACTGATGACAGCGATTTCATAATAGAAGTTGTTTTGTTTTCTGACCAATAGATGGCGCTGTCTCGTTCGTAAATCGCTATGTTGGGATTTTTTGTAATTAGCATAAGTCATCAGCATTTTTATGATTATATACTTCTACCAAGCGAGTACGGTTGTCTTATTCTCACGTTCGTAGTGGTTTCCGATAACTGGCTTGGACATTATACATATAGATGTAGCATTACAAGATCTAAACATCAATTACAATACTTTAATTATCGCGCCACCAAATATAGCAAAAAGTTATTTTATACACAGGCGACAATATCTATTTAGAACGCATTTTTAAACACCACGGTATTATAATAACCGGCAGTAACATGTTCTAATGATTAAAATATTTTTCCGTTGTGTATGTTTTTCCGGAAGAAACCCTTTTCTTTTCAAATGATTGTATAAATAATGTACGTTATCCATAATCCTAATGCTTTTTATTATTTTGTTGTGCCCAAAATATTATTTTAGCTTTTAATGTTTATACCACAATAACTTTCATTACGTAAATAAGAACGCTTACGTTACAACGTGCGCATAAAATGATATTTATTTTGCAATAAACGTTATATAAAGTCTCATTTCCATACTTCCATTGGGGCTTAAGTTTAACTTCTGCGAACACAAATTCTACGGAATTAAACGTCTATTTTCACATAATTATAATATCTTAGTATATATACTATATACATAATATGTTTACGAACTAAGCGTAAAATAAAATACCATTTACGCTTTTATAATGGAACTTTTCTTCATATAAAAACGACATCGATTCATATACGCTAAGACCACACAAAACCACAAAAAACATAAAAGCAGATTTGCTCACAATGCCAACGTATCAAGTACTAGGCTAGAAGCTAGAAGCTAGAACCGAAAGTTTTAACGATATTTTTGAATTGGCACTAGCTATAAAGTTATATATTCGAAATTCTGTAATTAGTATCGGGTAAGAGTTGATGCTGAATAAATCAAAACAAAAAATTCAATCATGCCTTAGACAGAGAGGTATTTAAAATCAACGACCCCTTGTAAAACTGTCACGTAATTTTTTAGTCGAGCGTTGAAGGAATGCCATTGATAAATATGAATCATTTGCAGCAACTCAGCAAGCGTATTGTATTGTATCGAAATGCCATTCAAATTTGACTTTCAAATTGACTTATTCAAAGGTGTATCATATTTAAACCTCCGCATTAATAAAACATCGTAATTAATTACATTCATAATCTTTTTTAAGACTTCTGCCTGTTAGTTCAGTGGATTTTCGTGAGATTTGATAAAGAAAAGTGTTTTAATAGTGTTTTTGACGTTATACTTCTTTTGGCGTTCGTGAAAAATTATGAGAGTGAATTTTTACGATGCACTACACCTAAAACCGGCGCCAACTCCATTGTGTTACCATGGCAACCAATAACAAGCTTTTGACATTTACCTATAATTAAACAGTCAATCAATTGCACTTAATGTCTTTTTTTTTCGCAGAAGAAGTACCTGTGCCCGTAGCACAGGTGGAAAAAATTTTTTGTTACTTTTTATTTTATAGTTAAGTTCAAGCAGTTATGACCTACTGTCATGACACGTATCTGCCACCTAGCGGTGTTTATCAACCGTAGTGGCACAGTATCTTTTTTTTGTGAAAAGTTGTCAAGCGAGCAGGCAATGTTAAGTTATTAACACTCATGGGCTTCTGCAACACCTGAGGGGTTGTAAATTCTACGATTCGACAACCTTTTAAATGTTGGCAACCTGCTATCATCATTTAAAACTAGCAAAACTGGTATATATCTCGACTGGCGTTTCCACAAGTTAAGAAACTCGTCTTGAACATTTCATTTAATATATGCATGAAACTTTTGCCTTTGAGAACATTCTGCCTTAATACAGAGGGATAAAACGGCTTAGTCGAAACCCTGACATCTTGCGAGAGTTAACATGACGGATTTGCTTATTCTAAATAGGAACATGCTTACAAGAGTAACTTTAGTAGATAGAAAACTTTGTGGAGAAAAGTCATAGAAAAATCTAATCTCTTCTTCTTTCTCCTGCACTTATGACTAATATGTTGGGTCGGCACATCTGAAAAATGTCGTTAATTATCTGTGGCTTACACAAATACTTGTCTCGTGTCGGAATTAATCACAATACCTACGGACATCTGAGACATCATTGGTTTTCCCACTCACCAGATAAACGCAAGATTATATAAGTTTCACTTCGCACCGGTCTTCTGTGGGGACGTGGTTAAGTTTATAGGCAAAACATCTGTAAAGTAATTATTATTACGATTTAAAAACGACTTATTAAGACCCCAATAACAACAGTACTAGCATTAAATTACTTTATCCAATTAGAGCTTTTTTTATAAGACTTACGCTGTACTTCGTAAACGACAGAACAGAGAAACAAACTTTACCCGTTTCAAATTCTACGCGCAATATCGACTTAATCAACAACAAACAACAGGTTATTTGAAATTCACGGAAAGCGTAACGTCCCGTCACAATTGCAGAATCGTTATTTTGTAAATAAACAGTTTACTGTTACGTTTTTTGGTTTGTATATTGCCAAATATCTTGAGAATTCGTCTACGAACGCCTTGTACGCTAGTTGCGCTCTTTTTAAAATATTTAAAAAATGAAATTATTTAATAGATTTCAAATCCCGTACACTGTGTACACCTGGACTAGGAACAACAATTTATGGTGCAAAAAATTTACTTCCCTATCGATTACGCTGGAGAACGTTTTAAGTCGGCATTCCAAAGTCAGTATTTTAATATTGACCATGTAAGTCTAGACGATGGGCGTGCACACTTTTCCCGCTACGAGTAAAAAAGTAAAAAAGTAAAGTAACAGCCTATACATGTCCCACTGCTGGGCAAAGGCCTCCTCTATACAGAGGGTATCAGGGCATAGTCCACCACGCGGCCCCACTGCGGATTGGCGGACTTCACATATCTTCGAAATATATTTTTTTGTTATTATTTCGAAATATGCAGGTTTCCTCACGATGTTTTCCTTCACCGCGGAGCACGTGATAAGTCAGAACTTAAAGTTAAAAACTTCATTGGTGCCAGCACCGGGAATCGAACTCAGGTTGCTCGAGTATATATTGAATTAAAGGCGAGCGCCCGGACACTGAGCTATCACGGCTCGCTACGAGTATGCCGCTATTTTATGTGAAAAGAAATGAGCAAGCGAGAAGAACGTTCACCTGATGTTAAGTGATAACCGCCGCCCATGGATATCTATGACGCCTGAGGGGCAGCTTGATGCGATACCAGTATTGAAAC